CTTAAAAATCTTCTATTTGCTGAACTATGACAGATGTTCATACAAAAATAAATCCAGAAATGTACACTGCCAAGAACAATTAATAAAAAATATACCTATACATTTTCAAAAACAAACAGTAATAGTATATGCAGATTGTGGCAAACATAAGGATATTTTTTTTTTTGCCTATTACATCCCCCAGATTCTACCTGTGGACAAATGGACACATTTCACATTACAATACCTTCAGTCAACAGCGTAATTTAAGCTAGAGATCTGTTGCTGTTATTACAATTAGTGAAAACAACTAAGTAAAATGCCAAAACAAACCACAGAAAATAAATTATACTAAGAGGAGCTCAAGAATGCATTCACAGGAACATCTGCTGAGAAGGGGGATTAAAAAAAAGTCAAGATGGCAGCTGCCACCAGCCAGGTAAAGAGGCAGGGCTTCAATCATGGAATCACAGATGTCATCTTGATATTTTTGCATGCCTTCATAGGTATTTATTTATTGAATTTATATGTTGCCCATCTCAATCTGAAAAGCGACTCTGAGAGATTGCAGGTAGTCCTCGACTTACAACAGTTCATTTAGTGACCATTCCAAGTTACAACGGCACTGAACAAAGTGACTTATCACCATTTTTCACACTTGTGACTGTTGAAGCATCCCCCTAGTCATGTGATTTTCCTTCGGGATGCTTGGCAACTGACTCACATATATGACGGTTGCAGTATCCCAGAGTCACGTGATCACTTTTTGGGACCTTCTGACAAGCAAAGTCAACGGGGAAGGCAGATTCACTTCACAACCGTGTTCCTAATTTAACAATTGCAGTGGTTCATTTAACAACTGTGGCAAGGAAAGTTGCAAAATAGGGCAAAACTCACTTAGCAAATTTCTCCCGTAACAACATGCATTTTGGGCTCAATTGTGGTCATAAGTTGAGGATTCCCTGTATATTCATATTTCTGTAAACACTGTATGTCCTACATGCCCAATATACTAGAAGCTTTTGAGGAATTCTAGTATTATGTACTGACAATAAACTAGATGGAGAAGTAGTGCTAACAGCATCAGAGTTTCCTTTTCTAATTGTCTTCAACTAAACATTAATATGTAGATCCCTTTCTTCCTTTAGTAAATTTCATCTTATTGAGGCTTTTAGTTTGGTTTAGACCAGGGGTAGGCACAGCTGGCTCAGGAATTCTGGGAGTTGAAGTCCATGAGTCATAAAAGAGCCAAGGTTGCCTACCCCTGGCCTAAACCATTCTTCCTGTATTATAGTTTGCAACTCAAACAGCATTGTTTCATGTTATCCTGAGAATCATTTAAATGGCGAAGTCTTAAATGTAAAGTAGGATTGCTGAATGTCTAACATGTGCTTTGCCACTAAACTATAGTAAAAATTGCTCCATTGAAATTGAAAAATAACTAAGTTATACATACTTGCTCCTCCCTTTTGGGATAAGCAGTATTATGCACAAACAGAAACAGAGGAAGCAACAGTAAGCCAAAAGAAATTTTAAGACACAAATTTTAAGACAAAAATATAAGAAAAAAAAATAAAGCTACATTTGTTTTTAATTGATTTTAAGATTGTTGCTGAGACAAGCAGTCATGCAAATTGAATGATTAGACGAATGAATAAATGAAGTTTATACCAATGTCCATTATACTTTGCCACAATTTTTCCCTTGCAAAACATCCTTGCTTCCACCACGTCCATCTAACTTTTTATACATTACCTTTTAACAAGTTAAACAGCAATTTTCTCAGTTTCCCACTCACTTTCAATTCCGTTCTCTGTTCCTTCATATATTTATTTTGTAATTTCATTCAGTCTTTCTTTATGACACATACTTCTTTTGTACTGTCTCTCCATAAGTATTCAATTATGTATTTATAATTGTTTGTTCCAGTGCTTTTTTTCTAAAAAAAAAAAAAAAAAAGGTGCCGGAACTCACACACATCATACAACCTGCCTTGCCTACCACAAGGTTCCATCCAAAAAAGGTGCCAGAACTCCGTTCTGGGCGTTCTATGAGAAAAAAAGCCCTGGTTTGTTCTCTTTTTATTTTACCACACACACTTAAGTAGCTCATTCCTACTGTATTCAATATATTTTTATGTTTCTTCTGTCTTGCTTAGCTCTCCTTCCATGTAACAAAGTGGCAGAAGCACACTCTTTATTGCAACCACTGTTGCTTCTTTCAACAAATATTTATTTATTCCTCAAAACAAAGATTCTACTAGCAATTCCGCGTCTTAAAATTTCTACTTTTTTCTTCTTTAATGAACATTCTTCTAGCATATATAAATTCATCTACTTGCTCTAGCTTTGCCATTTATATATCTACAATCTTCTTACTTCTTTCCGCTAACAAATACAAATACCTTCATTTTTTATATATGAATTTTCAAACACCTACTTCTTACTGCCACCTGTTCTCAGCCAACAACATGGCATCATCTACATACAAAACTACAAGTATGTTGTATCCTTAATCAACACACCTCTGCCATCATCACAAACATTTATTTTATTTATCCATAAATCCGTTATTATAGGGACGTTATGCATCTTTGTTTTAATCCTTGCTTAGGTGTTGAACTATTTGCTAAGCATTCTATTTATCTCACCCTACTTTTATCATTTAATGTTCTCAGTGCATCCAGCAACCCATCTTCAACATCATGTTCAGTTAAATAGATTAAACCTGTTCACTTAATTGTTTTCTTTCTCTAATTCAGCATGTATTTCTTATCAACCTGCTGATGAGCAAAACTGCAGTCTGTCTATCCTTTGCTCAGCATAAAAGTCTTGGCCAGCATTACCTCTTTCAATTAGAATTATTTTTATTGAAAAACTTTCCAGGCACACTTAAAAATGAATCATCTTTGCATTTCCTCTTGCTACCTTTCTCTTTGTAGGGGAATAATAATCACATTTCTCCAATATTCAGCTACAAGTGCAACCTTCACAGATGTCAAACAAGTTGCACAACTAATTGTTAAATAAACATATAATAATTTAACTTTTTCTAGTTGTACCATCTATAATAGCAGCCTTAAAACCATTTTCCAAATCTCTCACAGCATTCATACCATCCTTTTTATTCTCTCTCTCTCTCTCTCTCCCTCTCTCTCTCTCTTTCTCTCTCTCTCTCCCTCTCCCTCCAGAAAGAGATTAATGTAGAATTTGTTTCAATTCCATTTTTCCACATACAACTAATATCAATACTTTAAACAAATATTCCAGCATCTCCTCATTTCAATTTCATTCCAAATAATTTGATCACTTTTATTTTAATTCCATTCACTCTCCTGCGGACTCTTTATTTAGCAATCTTCACCATTTCCAAAACAATTGTTTAATTCCATCAACATGCCCCTGCATTTTCTCTGCTTCTTTTCATCTTAACCATTCCTTGCTCCCTTTCACTTTGTTCTTTGCAAATATCTTTTTCTCTCTGTACACTGTCTTAGTTGTATACAAAACTTTCTCAGATTTGGAAGCATTCATTCTCTTCTATGCGTTTTCCCCTTATCTACAGCATCTTTCACTTCGTCATTTTACCAAGCATTCTTTTTCATATAATTACACATACCCTCCACATGCTCTGTTACATAATTCTTTCCACTGTGTTTCCAACATTTTCCACACTGTCTTTCTTTAGATCTTCTTGCCAACTTTGTTGGGAGATAACTCTGTCTTCTTCGTTTTCATATAAGATTCCTACATTCTTTTTCTGCAGTCATTCTATTTGCATTCTATTTTATATCACTTCTTTCTTTTCCTTCCATGTTCATTTTTTTTCTCAAGATCCATGCTGCCAAAAAAACTCAAATCTAGAATTTCTCATTACTTTTGTATCCTTTGTTCATTTGTTCAATCTTTTATTATGAATAATGAGATCCATCATGCTTTTTAATATATCTCTCTTCCATAGTGTCTGCCTGAACAAATATAGCTTAATACACCTGTTTGAAACAGTATTTTCCTTAAGTAGACACTCACCAAAGAGCCAGCATTTTCACTCATTTTTGGCTTTTAGAATAGCCCATCACATTTTATTTTTTCTTACTCCTATCTTGTCCTTGATTCAGATCACCTGGGAAAACACTTTCTCTCCTGGACTGCATTCATTCAGAATACTGGACAAATTTTCCCAGAAGTCCTTTTTGATTCTGCTATTATCACAATTCAGTGGAGCATATCATGTAACTTTTTCTTACCTATGGATTTCTACTTTCATACATATCCATAACAACCTAGATAAAACCACATTACTTGTAACATCACACATTTTAACTAGAAGCACAATCAGTCCAGTTTTGCCCCAAGCATGGTTATACTATTTTATGCAAGCTAAGATCTCTACTGTGGAGAGAACTTTGCAAGGCAATATATAGGTGCTGGTACCTAGCCAGTTAGGAAATCCATGAAATGTATTGACTCTCAAGATGTATCTAGTTAAATACTGACAATATTTACAAGAAAATGCATATTATTTAACACTAACTATTATATAGGTAGCTAAATCAAAAATTGAATCTGAATGACGGTTTGGGTCTAATGATATCCAAGATAGGGTACCTGAAAGATGAAAATGTCTACACAAATAAGAAACCCATGTTTTCCATCAAGAACATACTCACTGGACACTACAGTACAGAAAAATTCTTTGATGGATCTTTGTATCATGAATATAAATGGTTTTTTTTGGGAGGGCTATATGCGTTACATGACTCTGTGACCTCAAATTTAACACATCAAAACTCTTAAGCATGGAAATTGCATACGAAAATACAAAAACAAGGAGCTATGAGCCATTTGGCTGGCTAAATATTCAGGTTTGGACTTTGGCTGTTATAGACATCGTTTGAATGTGTTATAAATTCTATAAAACCATTCATTCTGTTGATACATAAGTATAGTGCTGGGAACAACCTTGAACAACCTTGCCCAAGCCAAGCCTGGTACAAATATAATGGAAGAAAAGTTACTAACCTGTACATTCATGCTGTAGTCCTTTGCCGTAGTACCCCTTTTCACAAATACACTCAAAGTGTCCTGTGTGGGTACCACATTTGCAGCTCGCCATGGCATCACAGCAATTTTCAGTCCCCTCACAAAGGTAGGAGCAATACGCTATATCTTCCTGAATGTAACTTCCAGAAGGCAAATCTGTAATTAGGATATTTGGAAGGACACGATAGGGGTTCCAAATAAATAAGCAAATAAATAGTTAGAGACATCTACTCATCTAGATAGAATTTTTTTAAAGTATAAATTTCAATTAAATGCAAAAAGCAAGCTAAATCCTAATTGTTATACTTATTAAAATAATGGTAAATATTTTAAAATCCATTTATCTTTCCTGTTCAAGCAGATATTTGATGAAAATGGGAAATCAGTTAATTTTCAATGATAGTTCTGCTCCATTTCATTAACACTTGGAAATCTGCATCTGCTAATTAATTTCCTCTGCTAATTAATTTCCATGGATACAATGTATTGAATAATTCTTCTATGCAAACTTTATTATAATAAAACTGAGCTGCAGAAGTCTGTACCACACTAGGTTTAATCCTCTTTCATTCTGTTTGTGTGAAACATTATTGTTTGGTATTCTAAAGTAAATTCTACCCTTTCTTTAAGGTTTCACTGATTTAACAATATAATATGGATCTATCTGTCTGTCTGTCTATCTTTCAATATATGCGGCACGCTCTTCTTCAGTTTTTCCTCTTAATAAAACCCTCTGAGGAAGGTTCAACTGAGACATAGTGATTGCCCAAAGTTTTCTTCTCTATCATGGCTGAGAATAGAGTTGAACCCTCTAAGAAAGGTAAAAAATAATTCTCAGAAACTGCACTCTGATTTTGATAAAGATTTTCTAAAGAGATGAATGAGGGTTAACATCCCTGTTGCTTAAAGGGACCTATGACATGACTTGTCAAAACTGGTCCCAAGTAAGGTATATCTATCTAAAAAGCATTGTTCTATTCTTAAAAGATGAAAAATATTAGAGGTATTTTTAATATTTCCAATTTTATCTGACAACATTACCCAGTACATTAATCAGGTAAAGTCTCTTGAACATATGGTTAAAAATGAGTTCTGAAAGCTTTAATACAAACGTTTACTCTGTGATCAAGATATTAAAAGAAAAAAATCCAAAAAAACTTCTGACTGTGTATAAAATGCAACTCAATTTTTAGTTTTTGTATTTATAAAATGCAATTCAATTTTTTACAATTCTGAAAACCTACACAAATTTAAAAGCAAATCTGGTATACTTTGTTTATTCAATGCAGAAATATTATATATTGAATAGAGAAGGAGGCAGGATTCAATATACTGCTTAAGTCTCTATATAAGTGTAAAACCTAGAGGCGAAAATAAAGTGAATGGATTATTCAGAACTACAAAAATAAGGTGTCCTAAAAACTGCATTTTTTTACTATATGGAGATTGGGGTCATTGGTCACAATATACTTCTGCACCTGCCACACATACATTATATTCCCATGTGTAACGAAAGACATGAAATCATAATCAAAAGAATTCTTTTAAAGTCAAATGGAACATCAATCAATCAATCAGAATAGAGCTGGAAGGGACCTTGGTGGTCTTCTAGTCCAACCCCCTGTTCAAGCAGGAAACCCTATACCATTTCAGACTGGTGGCTGTCCAGAATTTTCTTTTTTTTAAAAATCTACTTTGAAAATAAGTATAATAGCATTTGGGCAAAGGATGGGGTTGTTTGACAATGTTATAATAATAATAAAGTTGGAAGGGACCTTGGAGGTCATCGAGTCCAACCCCCTGCTCAGGCAGGAAACCCTATATCATTTCAGACAAATGGCTGTCCAGTCTCTTCTTAAAAACTTCCAGTGCTGGAGCATTCACAGCTTCTGGAGGCAGGTCGTTCCACTGCTTAATTGTTCTAACCGTCAGGAAGTTTCTCCTTAGTTCTAGGTTGCTTCTCTCTTTGGTTAGTTTCCATCTGTTGCTTCTTGTCCTGCCTTCAGGCGCTTTGGAGAATAGCTTGACTCCCTCTTCTCTGTGACAGCCCCTGAGATATTGGAACACTGCTATCATGTCCCCCCTCGTCCTTTTCTTCGTTAAACCAGCAACCGTTCCTTATATGTTTTAGTCTCCAGTCCCCTGATCATCTTTGTTGCTCTTCTCTGTACTCTTTCTAGTACATTATGCTTGCATAATGAATTATCTTCCAGTTAATTTATTACAGGTAATCCTCAACTTATAATAGTTCATTTAGTGACCGTTCAAAGTAACAATGACACTGAAGAAAGTGACTTATGACCATTCTCCACTCTGATAACCATTGCAGCATCCCTGCTGCCCCGTGATCAAAATTCAGACACTTGACACTTGGTTCATATTATGAGGGTTCCATTGTTCCAGGGTCATGTAATCACCTTTTGCTATCTTCTGACATGCAAAGTCAATAGGGAAGCCAGATTCACTTAACAACCATGTTACTAATTTAACAACTGCAGTGATTTGCTTAACAGCTGTGGCAAGAAAGGTCATAAAATGGAGCAAAATTGATTCAACAAGTGTCTCTCTGAGCAACAGAAATTTTGGGCTCAATTGTGGTCATAAAGTCGAGGACTACCTGTATTGGAGGAACAGCCATATATTTCAAATTCAGATCATATATCATCCCTGACCTTGAAAACAAACAGATAATCAAAGCAGACTTAGATCCAATACCTTCATGAAGAGCTCGGCGTGCTAGAGCTTCAAACTCTGCAAAACTGTGGAGCAAGTAGCAGTGTTCCTCCTTTGGGTGGGAAGCCATGTCATTCAGCTCTCTGATATTGCCTTGCCATATCCCAAATGTGAAGATTTCTACTCCAAAATCACGCAAGGATGCTGCAATGGGACGAGGATCCCCTCCATTGGAATAGCCATCCGTAATCAAAAATATTACTTTGGTAGCATTTACACGGGAGTGAACCAGTATTTGCTAAAAAAGAAAGAAAGAAAGAAAGAAAGAAAGAAAGAAAGAAAGAAAGAAAGAAAGAAAGAAAGAAAGAAAGAAAGAAAGAGAAAATTAAGCAAAATTATCAAGTTGGTGACCTGCTCATGAGTTCGTATACCAGCATTCACTCTTTTCTTATACAATTTAGTTTTTGAAGGACCACTGTAAAATCAACACTTCTATGTGAGGTAGACAGAGGAAAATACAGAATGGAATGATGTCTTTTAGATATTGGTGAAAGCTTTTTCCCCAGCACTGTGATGGTCTACTTCTTTCCTTTTTCTGAAAGGAAACAGTTCCAAGAAGGCTCCACACCCATTTGCACTACTCAGGTGATCCTGACAACACAGATAAGCCTCCAGGTGGCATCAACGGCTCTCTAAAAGAATGCAAATGACCAGCTGTCTGCAAGGAGTATAAATCCTTCCATTCCCCATCAACCAGTCAGAGCTGAAGAAGCTTCTTGGATGAGAAGCGAAACATCTTCAAAGAGAAAAAAAGAAAGTCCAGGTGCCTCGTGAAAAAACACCTTTGGGACAACAAATAAGTAACTTAAATAATTCCTATGAATTTTTGCTCATGCACTATATCCTCTTTGGCTGAAGACTTTCAGTCCCATAGAAGATATCTGGGGTTGTAAGGAGAGTTGCAAAGGGGAGAAAAGATAAGAATAGTGGTATTATTATGATTACTGATCAGTATCCTGTTTGTTGAACAATTTTGCTCACTACAGCTCTCAGCAAGCCGATAAAAATTTGTTTGCTAGGTATATATACACATATTTATAATACATGCATGTTTACAGGTACCTCACATAAACAGTGAGTTGGGGGTGACTTCAGTAAGGGTTTCAACTGGAGTTGGCCATTTACATTGATAAGGGGAAATTTAGTCACTGCAAAAAAATAATAATGGGCATTTGTACTTTTTTCTTTGTCTGATTTTCCTTTTTGGTAGGACCATCTTAACTTTACAGTTCTATTTCTTTCTGATGAATAAGGTACTTAAAATGCTGAAGCAATGTTTAAAATTTCCTTCAAAATTCTTCTTAGACAGTCTTCTCTTTTACAATTAATTAACTGTGCAATTAAGTTCCTCTATCATCATGTAATTGATTAACTTGTCAGAACAAAGTCTGTTTTTTCAGTAAATATTTCTCTTAACCCAAAGTGGAAAAAACTGAAGTATTTTTCTTTCTAGTTAAAAAGATAACTAATTGCAGTTAAGCAATAATAAAATCAGTGCCTTTGTTTCTTTTATTGTAGAAGGTAATTATACTTTCCAGGAAGGAACTGCTAAAACAACTCAGGGCATTCCTTGGTCTCTAAAGACACACTTCTTAAAAAGCAAAAACCAATCAATCTACAAATTAAAGCTGTATTTAGAGCAAGGGTGGATGACTGATCATAGTGATATCATAAATCACAACTCTGCAGCAAATGTAATAAATTATCTTAGCCCCTTTGTGTTTTCTGACAAATTTTGACTGAGGTCATTCACATATCCAAATAACATTATCCTTTCTTTCATCTTGTGTATAAATTTTAACTAAAGGAACACTGCTATGTGAACTTCTTTCTTCTCTACAAAAGTATTTATAATACCTATAATACTTAGAGCTGCGCATGCTTTGAACATTATTTGGAAGACAAGGTTCTTCATAACCTGAGTGACTGAGAAAAAAAGCAGCTGTTTTACATGAGTAAACTCATTAAAGGAGCTTTGGCTTTAAAGTGACACATAAAAAGCAAGTGCATTTTTCTCAGGAATCTGTAAAAGACTAAAGCTGTAATCTGGCCTGCAAAAAATAATTAGTCTTATTTGGCTAGAAAAACAGTGGAATCTCTCCCATCAAAAAGACAAATGTAATATAACAGAGCTTGAAAATAGAAGGCAATGGTGCAATTCTTCATAGGAAGAAAATAAAGATGGTTATTAAAGTGCAAGTTCCTTCATTTCCTCAGTAATTTTAGAATAATAATAGTATTCTTTGGTCAGCAGATTTTATAAAACATCAGTATTACCTTAATTATTGCAACATGCTATTAATAATGTTACATCTCCCTGTACAAACTGAGCACATCAGTATGTTATGATAAATGAGGATAATAAAGTTACTTTTGAACTGGGGTCCTTGGCTTCTTCCTCTCCTCATAAAACTGAGTCAAAACCTAGTTTGAAAATAATACTACTGTACTTTTTGATTTTATTCTGCAATTCCCTCTGCCAAAAGAATGCAAGCAGCATACTTGCTAGTTTCCAATACCTAAAACAGGGCAATCAATATATAACATCATTAAGAAAACAAAGAATTACTATCATGATACTTTCCTGCCCAATATATTTCTTTTGTCACTATCCAAGCTACAAAATTTCATTTGATAGGATGAGGAAATTCAAACTGCATGGACATAATTGCTTTCTGAAAAAGCCTTCTGTGTTCTTTCTTATATAGATGGCATCCTCCCATAAAATATGAATAAGGCTTAAATATGTTAACTTTCCCTAATCTGAATATAAAAATTTTAAAACTAGTTCTGTATTCTTTCCTGGATTGATAATGTTTATATAAAATATGTATCTTTTTGAATTTGTTCATGGAACATATTATTAATCCCTTAATCAATTTCCCCTTCATGATCAGGGACTACCTTTATTTATCATTTGACTCTAATATGAGTCCAGTTCAAACACTGAATTTCAGACCTTGATTTACAGATTCCTGCTTGCTATTTGATGTCTTTATTTGTTTATGCTTGGTGTGTGAGGTCAACACACACAGCTTGTAGTTTAAATAAGAACAGCCGATCAGCATCTATATTTGGACAAACTATAGTCCTCCAAAAGTTGCTGAATTCCCATGATTTCTCACAACTGATTGTGCTAGCTAAGCTGATGGAAGCTAAATATCTGTAGGACAATATATGGTTTAGCCTGCCAAAGTCAATAGTGTATGCAAAGCACTTCAGAATGCATTGACCATATACAAAGCAGTTCAGCACTTGGCAGTGAAGAAACACGTACTCAAAACCTCTCTTGACAACTTTTTTTTTTCCTTTTAAAGCCTTTTTATCCACTTTATACACACTCCAGTACCCCTTCTATATCCATGTGTATTTCACTCATATTGGTCTGAAACTTGATGGAAGAAACATTTCGGGGAAAACATTTTTTTGTGAAGAACAGCTGTGATGGAATGGGAGAGACATTGTTACATTATGCTGTGGAGAAAATAAATGTAGTTATGTGGTTTGGCTCTGAACATATGACATTAGGGTCAAATTTTATATTTTGTGGGATATCTGAGATCAGAGCTTCCAGGATAATTCTCTGGGACTAAAAACATCTGTGAGAAGCTTGGTTTAGATTAGGGTTTTTTTCTGTGAGTGTTGGGAGAAAGAGGTGTTTTTCCTTACCAATTTTTGGTAATAAAAACTGATCTGCCCCTCAAACATTATTATTAGTCAATCAGAAGAAAAATATGGATGCCTTTATTATACCTTTTCAGCAGATCATCTGTGATGAATAGAGATTTGTGACAACTTATTTGATAATATATTTATTAGTTTTTAAGCTGCCACTGTATTTCCTTTTTTTTTTTTTGCTTCCATACTTAATAACATATAGGAGATTCTAATTAGGGAAGATGAGTGGAGAGAGTATTTATTATATTGTCTCTTTTCTTGTATGATAGGAATTCTGTATGACATCATTAAAAATCACCACCTAATCCACCATCATTTTTTCATTAAAAAGACATTGAAAAATTATGAACTGCCAATGTTACAGCTTGTTCTATTCAAGTTCTCCTGGAAAAACACGACAGTCTTACAAATGTAAAAATGTATACAAGTTTTGTATTGTTATCTGGGATGCCCCGTTCAAATGTTCAAGTCATCCCTAAATGGTTCTGCTGTCAGGAAGCCACATGGGGATCGATGGCTTGGCCATCTTTATCCATCGCAGTAGCGTCTCTAAAGATGGACTTTTCTGATTCAATATTCCAACATATGTTAAATGTTCAAGTTACAAATAAATATCCTAGAATGACCATTTTCTCCAAGCTGGTACCCTCTAGATCGGAGAATACACTGTCAGAATTCCCAAGTATTGATCATGCTGTGTGGAAATGTAGTGGATTTGTCAAGCATGGAGAAAGCTGCTAAAGAAAGTTCATGCTTGGTGTAGCCCTGCAGAGTTTTTTGAGCACAAAGCAATTCAGAAGTGGCAGCCAAAAATGTAAGCCCACTCCATTCTTTCAAACTATTTGATTAGCAAGAATCAGAGTCACATGGAAACTGTCAATCTGCAGTTTTAAGAGAACAGGACTTTATCACTTTAGTTATTACGTCAAGCTGACTCGATCAAGGCCACAAAAGGAGTACAGGTAGTCCTCGACTTACACCACTTCATTTAGTGACCGTTCACAGTTACATCACGGAAAACAGTGACTTATGACCATTTTTCACACTTACGACCATAGTAGCCTCCCCATGGTCATGTGATCAAAATTTGGATGCTGGGCAACTGGTTCACATTTATGAGGGTTGCAATGTCCCAGGGTCATGTGATCCCCTTTTACGACCTTCTGACAAGCCAAGTCAATGGGGAAGCCAGATTCACTTAACAACCCTGTTACTAACATAACAACTGCAGTGATTTGCTTAACCACCGTGGCAAGAAAGGTGGTAAAATGGGGCAAAATTCACTTGACAAAATCTCACTCAGCAACAGAAAGCTTGGACTCAATTGTGGTCAGTCGAGAACTACCTGTAATCAGAACTTGGCAGTTATTTGAACCCAAGTCTCCCTAGGTCAGGGGTAGGCAACCTTGGCTCTTTTATGACTCGTGGACTTCAACTCCCAGAATTCCTGAGCCAGCCAAGCTGGCTCAGGAATTCTGGGAGTTGAAGTCCACGCGTCATAAAAGAGCCAAGGTTGCCTACCCCTGCCCTAGGTTCTAGTCGGCACCGGAACAGGTCTCTAATACGTGCCTGAATAACTGCGAGTTTTTAATCCGGAGTTAGGAAGCTAAGTCCAGATCAACCCCCAGCCAACTTACCGCGGCTTGCTGGAAAGCCCCCTTGGTGTAAGTGCCGCCCCCTCGGTAGCCGATGGCCGGGATTTCGCGGCTGAGGAGGGCGCACTTGTGCTGCCGCTGCTGCGCCCGAGTCGGCGGCGAGATGTAGTCCACGCGTGGCACCACGTGGTTCTTGGAGGAGAAGGTCACGAGGGCCACCCGCGTGGCCGTGGGCACCACCGGGAAGTCGGAGAGCAGCTTCTTGACGAAGCGCAGCTCGCTGAGAAAGTTAGCCTGGCCCACGCTCGACGACTCGTCCACCAGGAAGACCAGCTCCAAGCGGTCGCTCTTCTCCCGCAGCTGCCTCACCTGCCGCTTGAAAGCCCGGCCGAGTTTCTCCACTTTATTCCCCGTCGTCGTCGCCGCCGCCGCCCCCGGCAACAACGGGCCGTGGGAGGCCGGCTTGAACGGAGCCGAGAGCGCCGCGAGAGAGCTCAGGTTGAAGGGGCGAGGCTGGCTGCGGGGCTGCACGGGCGCCCAAGCCAGCGCCCCGCCGACCCACAAGTACACGCCGGCGAGCCACATCCCTCCGGGCTCGTCCGCGATTAAAGTCCTTTTCTCGAGTTTGTTCCTTCCTCACACGCCCGGCCCGGCCCGGCCCTTTCCCGACGGCTGGGTTGAAGCCTAAAACGCGCGCACGTGGCGAGGACTGCGCGCGTTTGGCGCTTCCTTGCTAGAAATGACTCTTCTTTCTCCGCCGCCGCCTTCTCACAAGCCCTTCCCCGCAGGGCTGCAAAGGCAAAGGCAGCCCCGGTCCAGATACGAGTGTCTCTTTTCCCCTCCCTTCCCTCCGCTTCTCCCCCGTCCTCTTTCTCGCTCTTGCCGAAGTTGCTGCTGCCTGAGATTCCTTGTCACCAGAGCCCCGCCGGTGTCTGCCAGGCTGTCAACATTCCCAACGCAAACACATCGGCACCGAGGCTTAAGCTCTGATTGATCCCATATGTCTGGCAGGCAGCACCGGACGGGGAAAGGGAGGGGAGGGAACGCGGGGGGGGGGAGTGGGGTGGCGGCGGGAGAGGAGGGCCCGCGCCTCGGAAAAGACGATGGGATGGATGGATGGATCCAGATATACCAGGAGGGCCACGGTAATTGGAAACACAAGCCCGTTGTTATTGCGCGGCGCCCTCCGCATCCCTCTTCGCCCTCCCCTCTCCCCGCACGAACCCAATTCCCTTTTTGACCCCCCCCCCCCCCCGTTTGATTTTCGGGAAGCCTCGGTTGCTTCCCGACGTCTCTTTATTCTTGTAAGGAAACAGAAGAATGGAATGTAACTTTCTTATCTGCACCAAAAGAGGAATGCCAGGTCAATTCGGTACTTCAAGGAGACTTTAACAGCCCAGGCTGACAGCGTTTTAGGATATCTCTTCTCTTACCTGAATTTAGAGGATTATCTGCACATCAGCTATTCGTTCTTAGTACATTAACCAGAACCTGCCACAGAAAAGAAAATGGACAAAAGTATGTGCCTCCCCTATTGCTGCTGCCTCCTCTTGCAACTTTTGGAGGAGTTTCCAGACAATGTTAGCTCTGGAACCTGTACTGATAAGAGATCAGTATTGGGGAAGGAACTACATGACAACCACAGCAGACAGTGTGGTACTACAAGTACTTTTTGACTTATGACCGGGTCGTTTAGTGACTGAAATTAAGATGGACCCAGGAAAGGGACTTACAAGGTGGATTAGAAGTTACAATGGCCAGGTCCTCTTTCCCATGGTTATGTGACCCATGGTTATGTGACCCATGGTTATGTGACCCATGGTAACTGGTCTGCATTTATGACGGTTATGTGACCCATGGTAACTGGTCTGCATTTATGACGGTATGTAGTCTCTCATAGTCGTGTGACTTCAGTTTATGACATTTTTTTGCCAGAAACTACCATTTACTTTTGATTTCCAGCAAACAATGTCCCATATTGAACAGTGGGTTCGCTTCACAACTGTGGTGTTCTGTAAACAATTGCAACGAAAAAGATCATAAATCGGGCGCAGGCATATGGTGACCCACTTAACGATTGCCACAACTTACGAACAAAATTTCAGTCATAAATGGAGGACTGCCTGTAGTATCATACTGCACATTTAAAGACTTGGGAAGTTAGTTCACCAACTTCCATAAACAAGCAGTGCTGTCTACGTCTCCTTGAGTGGACTCTCCTAGAAGATTGTACATAATGAAATATAACATTTGCTATATTTTATCTATATAAATAAAAATGTAAATGTTTGTTTGTTCAAAATCTTAAATCTCTGAAAGTTCTTCACCGATTGCTTTGAAACTTTGACACAACGTTGCATTCGAATACGTGTGTGTTTTTATATACCTATATTATATAGATGTCACACCTGTGACAGGTAAAAACATGCTTTTTTTGAAAAAACAGCGCCGTCTGTTGGACATAAAAGCAACACACGCTTTTACCAGACTGAGCCACAGCCACGCGTGGCTGGGTACAGCTAGTATATAAATAAAAATGTAAATGTTCATTTGTTCAAAATCTTAAATCTCCGAAAGTTCTTCACCAATTGCTTTGAAATTTTGACACAACGTTGCATTTGAATATGCACATGTTTTTATATACCTATATTATATAGATGTCACACCTGTGACAGGTAAAACATGCTTTTTTGAAAAACAGCACCATCTGTTGGACGTAAAAGCAACACACACTTTTGCCAGACTGAGCCACAGCAACGCGTGGCTGGGTACAGCTAGTTTCTAATATAATACTAATCCATGTCCTGCTACTTCAGAATCACTGCTGAAGGTGACTGATTTTCTTTTCCCGTTCAGCACATCATCAGTCAGTGGTAAAACATCTGCCAGTCTGGGCATTGTGGCAGGAATAGATGGATCTCACTTCAGGGCTCTGCCTCTGCCTGTATTTTTTAGGCTAATTTTTCTTGCTTTCTTCTGGATCCCATTTGAGCACTTTCATGAGTGTTGGCAGGGGCAGCGGGGTCAAAAAAGTCAAGATGACAGCTACAACCCTGCAGTCGAGGCCTGCTACATTTTTTTACGAGTATCAATGTACATGAAATGGGTAGGACTTCAGTTGCATAGCTGTGGCAGCCACCTTGACTTTCTTGATGCCGATAAAAAAGATTGGTGGTTTGATTTCATGATTGTTGACACCATTTTGGCTTTTTTTGACCCCTATGGGACACTTCTTCCTCCATTAACACAGAAGTGAGATAAAGATAAGGAAAAATAGCAGGGAGGAAATATCCCAGAATGAAGGGAGATACTGTAAATCCATGCCATATGAACCTAGCCAGATCCTGTAGATCTGGCTAATTGAATCTCACAAGCTGGCTAAAACAATTGAAACTGACAAATACATAGAAAGTGGCAAGGCCCCTTTTCTTCCCCAAATGCAATTGTGGAAATCTGCTGTGCTCTGTCTCTGTCCCTCCCTACCTTGTTAGAGAGAGAGAGAGAAGTTGATGTCAGAAGAGAAAGGAAAGGAGGTGATGGATATGAAAGGAATTCAATAAATAAAGTGCCAAGAGGGAAGAGGGAAAAACTGGGAGGAAAATGGCTCACTACATCAAGATAATGGGTGAGAAAGCCTTGCAGATTTAACACACCGCAAAGCTGTTTGGAAACAATATCAGATTCAGGGGAAAAAGATTATCCATATATTTTGATACCCAAAATGGTATCAAAGGGTGTTTGATACCAATGGCATAAGGGTGTTTAACTCACAGGGTGAAGAAAAGTTGAAGCCAGCGTTGTGTGATCAAGAGGTTGTCAGTGCATGATATAAGCTGCAACTGAGGACTAGGCCTCATAACCTCTACCTCAGGGGTCTTCAACATTGGCCCTTTTATGACTTGTGGACTTCAACTCCCAGAATTCCTCAGCCAGGCACACTGGCTGAGGAATTCTGGGAGTTGAAGTCCACAAGTCATAAAAGGGCTAACTTTTCAGTCCTTTCCCCTACCTTAGGTAGCTTGCTTGTATTTAGGATGCAATTCAGTGCTGCTATCATTTGTGAAATATCTTGGTTATTTTGGAATTATAAGATGACTGCATGAGCAGTCACATTAATTAGCCTGTAACTCTCCAGAAACATTACTGATTTCCAACATAGCTAACCTTTTTTTCAAACTTTGCTAGAAATATTTGCAGTCAAATGCACCAAAAAGCACATATATCCAACACAGCCTATTTTTCAGTTTAATTTAATAATAAAACCTACAAACCTAGGATACCTGTAGCAATTTAAATATTGTAAGATCCTATCTTCATTCACCCTATTCACGAACAGAAATGAGAGGGAGATCAGTTTACCTTCCAGGATTTGGAAAGAGGAAGTAGAGGATCCCTTACATTAGAAGAGACTGATGAAACTTATCTTTCTTTTTTTAAACCCACACACCACACACATTCTCATTGCGGTTTGTAATTCTTAGCTTGTAAATTCTTTCCAGGAAATGCTCACCTGCTGTTCAAGACAGATGAAGCAAGCTCCCCTTCTTAATCCTTTTACAGAAATGCTCTAATCAATATGAAATAGGAAGAAAAAAACACTCCTGTTGCAGTTGGTGAGAAGTTTGCAGACACAAAGGATAGAATTTAATCTAACTTTAGTAGCAGGTTACACCCACCCCCCCAAAAAAAGTGTACCGCAGTGACAACTCAAAGAATACAACTGTATTGATTTTTGGAATACTGTAATTTGGACTCAACTTCACATTTCTTTAACATCTATTCATTTTTGGTAGCTGCACAATAGAGTGGCTAATCAATTGGACCATTTATTAGTCAGATAAAATATATGGCCTACCACACCATTAAACAGTTCTGCAGATTATAGCTCCATGTTTCACAGTTACTTACTGTCACATCATGACAAGCTAATGCTGAACATCCACTAACGATGAAGTTTATTTTAATCTTAGCAACCTCCCTGCATGTGTGAAGTTGGACATCTAAGAAGCAATTATATATTAATCCGTCTCATACAGAGATTAATGAATATTCACATTTGCTGAATGACAGAATTCCCATCTTGCTGATCCTACCATCATTCAGCTCTTCATGGTTAAACCAGTAGTATTCAATGTCAAAAAGCTGATGGCTCAGCAAGCCACATGATAAAATAAGACCTATATATATACATACTATTAGTTGGAGAACATGACAGTTTTTGAAATAGGAGCGAATTGTAAAATAGGGCGTATGATTCT